ACTTGAATTTTGCACCTGAGTGCAGCTGAGATCACGCCCGGGGTGCCTAATTTTTATTAGCTAGTGGCGTTAATGTTTTCTGGAGCTAAACGAGCGTGTTGCTCATAACACGACGATCGTGAAAAATTTGAAGGGAAAACGACAAAAAAAAACTCTCATTTGGCTTATTGCCGATTTCGGTCTCTGGAAAAAGTTCGAATAAATCGTAATTTATACTACTACTCATTGTCAACACACTGTGAGATCCGGAAAATGCCATTGTAGCGAGCTTTGTAATCCGTGCATGATATAATCTACGGGTGTGTCGTGTGTGTGGACATGTCTGTAGACCTCAATTTAAGATAATTTTGATTTAGATTCATCAGCTTTAAAAAAAAAATTAATTTACTATATAATGTAGAAAAAATTGGATCTCATTCGAAAAAAAGAAAGTTTATATCACCACAGGAGACTCCATAAATGGAGTAAAAAATATAAGTACCTATTTAAAAATATTACGCTTAAATGGGCATAATTTTAAATTACAAAAATCAGAATTTGAATAAATTCATTATTTATGCAAAAAGTGGAAGTGAGCGTACTTTGTAAATCACCCTGAATAATACACAATATTTATAAAACCCACAAGTAGAAAAAACAACAACATTAAGGTTAATAATAAAAATTTAAAAACTATACATTTTATAACTAATACAATTATATATCGAGTGGTAACCTAATAATAATTAATAAATAATAAAGTTTTTATTATTTATTATTACTTTTTAAAAAAAAAAATGTTGTGTTGTAAACAGCAAACCGACCAATAACATGACGACATTGTGGGATCTAATATAATATTATAGATGGTAGATTTATACGGATCACATGAATGCATGATATTATACATATTCTGCCTATGTATATAATATCCCCGATCCGCATATATCTGCTATCTACATACTTGCATACCTATGATAGGCATTATACTGTTTTGCATCTTGCAGCTATAGGTATACAATAACCGCGGTTGGGTGTAACAATAATATGTATATGGTCGCGTACTCGCGTACAGGTCTTTTCAGAGTTCACGGGAACCGGGTCTTGCATACTCTTGTATTGTGTCCCTCACTCTCTCGCGTTTACCCACAAATGACTGCTACACCATAATAAATAAGCAATTTAATAATATTATAATATAATGCTTGTTGTGTGACTTGAAATCGATTATCCGCGAGGATACCGCACGTGTGACCCGGAGGTCGACGGAACGCGTGATCAGTCGAGTGTCGGGGGTGTATAACGACTATAACGAATGATGATGATGATAATAATAATGTTCTATTATATAGCAAGGCCACCAGTTGACTCTACACGACTTAAACGAGTATACATAAATACTACCTATTATGTTGTGCCTACTCAAACCACTCATCCACGACCTACACGGCTACATGCGTGTCAGACCTATTAGGTATAGCCGGTATAGGTACCTCGTGCCTATGTATTGTTGTAACGCGTATAATAACATAATATTATGCTATATTATATGGAACTGAATTTGACAATTCTACACATATCACATAATATGTAAATATTATGTAATATTTATAAGATAGGTACACAGTAGGTACACATATACTAGCTCTCGTCTACTCTTGCAGAACTCTAATAATCAAAGTCTATTATTTTATCATTAGTATATGTATTTTACCTATATTATCATCTAGATTAGGTACGTGATATGCGTTTATGCAAACATTCTATATGAAATATAAATTCAAATACTAAAATAAATAAAAAATAATATGTGGTTTTAATTTTTATGATACGATGTTACAAAGGAAATATTATTTAGTTGTTTGCAATTGTTTTTCGTGTTTCGTTACCGGTACTTCCCATATTCGTTGAAATATTGAATATAATTGATAGTGGCACTGCCCACAGTTAAAATAATATATAAGTCGGTATTTTATGTTTGATTAAAATAATAAATAATATTGTATTATTAAATAATAATACAATAATACACTTTAAAAAAAAAATGGGGGAAAAATGTCCACATAAAAATATACCGTGAGGGAAATGCCGCTTTCCCCCAACCGGACATGGAAGATACCTACGGGTGCCCATTAAAAAATTTGCCAAATTAACAAACACACGTGTTTAAGCCTACAGTACCCTACCCCACAGTTAAAAGCCACCCAATGGCCTAAGTTTCAGCGGGTTAATTAATAAAAAAAAAATAAATAAATAATAATAACTATAAATTATAATATAATATACTAGCCGACTTGTCACAACTTCGCTCGTGATTGGTTGCTTATTTTGCCTTCGAACGATGATATGTATAATTTTTTATTCAAATGATATCGTTTAATGTGATCGGCAATTGACAACTATTTTTGTCAGTCAGTTAAAATAGGTTCATTATAATAATTAATATTATACAATTTGAAACAGTGTCGTATGCAGGGGTAAGGTTCTACGGTTCTAATCCTCCTTGAAATTTTTTCTTTCCACAAAAAAATCTTATTTTCCTCACCATAATCAATAATACACAAAGCAGATTAATTTTTGGTCATTTTTAGGGTTCCATACAGTAAAACGGGACCCTATTACTAAAGCTCAGCTGTCCGTCCGTCCATCTGTCACCAGGCTGTATCTCATGAACCATAAAAGTTGGAAAGTTGAAAATTTCACAGATTATGTATTTCTGTGGCCACTATAACAACAATTACAAAAAATCCTAGAAAATATAATATAATAAGTGTTGTTGCCAACATGTTTATAGATGATGGTATGGAACCTTTCGTGCACGAGTCCGACTCGCACTTGGCTGGTTTTTTTATATTACATTATATTATACCTGTAATAAACTGCGAATTGTCATTTTTTTTTTTATTGAATTTAAGCCCTGCAACTATGGCCATTAGCTATTATAGAGAATTATGAACTTTGGTTGGTAAGGTTTGTATGATAAAGTGTTGTTACAGCATGTAAGCAAGCACGTGCATGTGTGGCAAGGTTTTTACTACGGTAAACGGAAAACTGGTACGGTCTGTATAAACGCGGAATACTGGTACGGTTCACAATAGTAAAGGTTTCCCAAACTTTTATGAAAAAAAAAGAATAAAATATCAACGATTATTTTTAATTTTATTCTACCGACGATCGATGGGAAAACACGACTCACGAGTGACTGCGAGTGAAAATAATGCGATATACAGAAAGTTCTCATCAGTACAATATCATTCGCAATAGTGGATTGAGAGTGTTATTACTTCAATAAAAATTATACCTAATATGGACATTTATGCCAATCTACATGGCGAAAAGCTCAACAATTAGGCATATGTTCCTTATACAGAAATAACATAGATTTTAGAATAAGTTACGGTATGATTAACGCTTTAGCGTTTTTACACTTTAGTGAAGTAATAGATGGAATGGTTTATTTATATACAACGACACCTGTAGAATTGTTACCGTTACTAAAATATTTTGACGAAACTTATGTTAGTGGGAAGTCTGGGAGCCCAATATTTTCTCTAAACTTCGTGAATATACTTTGCAAGACAAATTATATTATAAACATTGTAAATATTTTAGGACCCCTGAAAATTAAATTTTGAATAGTACCAGTTTTCCGCATTTTTTATTTCTTTTGTTATAAATAGTATGGACCGTACCAGTATTCCGAGCATCTTTTACTACTACGAACACGGGCGGTCACCCATCCGAGAACTAGTAGCAGCGGGTGTTATTATTACTCTCAGCCGCATTGCAGCCAACGCTCCACTCCAAGCCGCTAAATTGTATTATTGTAATTGCAATAACATTGACAATCATAGTTTCAATTTTTTTTTTGGCTGTTTAAAAACATTGACGCCTGCCATGATCGATTATAATGGACTGAAGAGGTTACAAAGACGACTAAGACACCGAATAATCGAATAGGTACTCTAAACTAAATTTTAGACTATAACTCTATAGTTTGTTTTGACGAATTATACAAAAACTGTGTAGCAAAAAATTATGTAAACGGGGATGAATCCCTTCACGGGTTGTGATTGGCCTTAGGTAAAACCCTAACCGAAATAAGCGACTGCGTAAGCTACTGTATAGACGCATAGGGTCGACGCCCCAGTGCGTCCCTTTAATCATATCTTACATTTTTAATAGCTCAACTGCGTCCGCGATAAAATCTCTAATAATTTTGGTATATCCCATGTGCGTCCACGATAATATCACAAATAATGTTGGTATGTCCCATGTGCGTCCGCGATATTATTGCTAACAATATTTATCTTTATGGATAAAATGCATTGATAACTTATAATATTACACTGTGTTAGTTTGCATTTAGTGGCTACAGTGTAGTCCATACTTAGAGACCTACTATTTTGAAAAATCTATTCATATGGGTGCAAAAATGTTTGGCCAGATATCATTACAAAAGGTTGTCGGTTTCATCTGGGACAGGCATGGTGGCGAAAAGTACAGAATCTTGGTTTAAGTATACTCATTATTGTGATGATGTATCAGAAATAATAAACTTTTATAATAAATATAATATAAGTAACAATTAAATAACCGAATAACCAAATATTCTTGGGGTGTAAGCCAGTTCACCTCCTCGTGGTGCACCTTGGGTAACTCTAAATGAACTGGGACGCATTCGGGATAATATGTCAAAAATAAGACCTTTTTTTCTGGGGACGCACTCGGAAGATACCTTTTTCTTCTAACTAGGAACATTAAAAAAGGGTTATTTCGGGACGCACTCGGGAGTGGCCCCCTCATAGATAGGTAGATATGTACCTAAGTACAGTTGTCATAAACACCAAGTTCAACGAGTAAAAATATATTATATTATTTTATTTATTAAGAATCAATCTCGTTTAACAATAATATTTTTAATAATAGGTAGTGATAATGAACAATATACAGTCATAGGTAATAAAAATATTATAGTCACTGGACGATATAATAATATTATTAATTTTATACTGACTCGATCAGTACGATCTGTAGGGGTAATAGGAAGGTGGCTGCTTGTTGGCGGATTTGTACAACGGTGCGTTCGGGTAAGCCGGGGGCTCGTCGGCGGCATCGGCGGCGTGCTGGTAGACGGCGGCTGGTGCCGGACGGTAAGCGGCGGACAAGGATGACTTGTAGGCCGGTTTGTAGGCTGGTCGGTAAGAAGGGACGGCGGCGGGTCGATAAGCGGGAGCGGCGGCAGCCGGTCGGTAAGCGGGAACGGCGGCCACGGGTCGGTAAGCTGGAGCATCGGCGGCCGGGTGGCCCTCCTTGGACACGACCGCGTTGAAGCCGTTCTCCTCGTCAGCCGTGTAGTCCACCACGCGCCTGGTACCGTCCGGTTCGACGACCGTGTACTGTCCCTTGACGTTGTCGCCGTCTCTCACTTCGGTCTGCGACTTGTAGTCGCCCGTGTACGCGTCGGACACGTCGTACGCGAAGTTGTATTTAGGCGGGGCGGCGGCGTGCTCGTCGTGGGCCGCGGCCGCGCGCCCGTAGTAGCCGTTGTGACGGTAGTCGGACGGTGGCTGAGCCGGAGCTCCGTAACCGTACACCGACAAGGGGCTGCCCGACGTCATCCGCAGCAGTGATGATGTGGCGATAACGACTACGACCAGTGACCGCAGCTGCTAAAAAGAAGCAAGGTTTTTTGCTACAGTTTCGGTTTTTTATTATTCATAACACAAAATCGAGGTTACGGTTAACTGCAGCGTCAGCAGTGTTCTAGAGTCTCAAATCAACTGATTTATTATATTTATCTTAAATTATAATAATATACTATTCACGACAAATATATTATAACATTATGTCTATAATTATAATTTAAATAACTACTTCTCCTTTTCTTTATGACTAGAACATAGGTCGGAGTACTAATTATTATTAATAATACATATTATATGATATATAAATATATTATTGTATTATATTTCTTTAGCTATCGTAGTGAAAACTGGAAATACACAACTATTTAGATGTCACGAGTGCTAGACGTATTACGATATTCCTAAATATAATATAATATTATAAATAAATTATACATTTTTGTAGATCAAAATATGTAAGAATGCTTGACATTTTATTGAAAATGTTAAATGTATTCTACATAAAAATATACATATTTTATTAAGACACTTTCATGAATTCTATGAAAACTCCAAGAATAATGAAAAATTCTAAAAGGTATATTATTAAAACGAATTATGAGTTTTGAGTGATCATAAATCATAATTTAATACTATGTAAGATTGTTAGCTACTGAAAGTTAGACAGATTTAATTTTGAATCTTGAATGCCGATGTGATATTGCGGCATAACGCATAAGAGCGAACTGCTAGTTTTTGAGTACTACAGAGAGATGTGTCTTGCCAGTTTTGGCCACTAAAATTAACGCCTGTATACCTAACCTAGTTTCCTAGTTAAGAATTAGTAATTCTGATAAAATACGTGCAACTTATAATAATAATATAAACATATATTATATATATGAGTATATGACACAATAGATATTACTATTGCGAGGTTACCCGACCACCACGACGTTTAATCAGCAATTTCTGCATACATTCAACGATAAACATACGTTTAAGTTTAACCAAGCCTGGACATAAACGAGTTTAAAAGTTCAAGTTAAGTCAAAAGTTAAGTTAATTTTAACTTTTTAAAATGTAAATTTCATTAACTTGATTTTTAACTTCACTGATATTTATTGATATGAACTTAATAAATAACGAGTTACTTTTAATCAAATCTAGGTTACGTTAATTTAGAAAAAATTGAAAACGAAATATAATACAATTGTTATTGATGACGGATAATACATGAACGTTTAGTTCTTATTATTTTAAAACATATTGGGTACCGGCTTTTTATATTATGTTAAAAATTAAAAAAAAATGTAAATTTAACATAATAAAGTAAATAATTCAATGTAACTTTTAACTTAACCAAGTTAAAAAAAAATAAGGATAACTATTAAATTTAAACTTTTAAAATGTTTTCTATAAACTTAACTCAATTAAAAACTACCATTAACTTGCCCTGGGTTGAGTTTAAGGGGATTGCAAACTGACAGTTTTTATGGGGTTCAAAATTTTCAAATTGTATGCATATTGTGGGTCTTGCAAATGTGTGCGCAGTAAGTGATCATTATTTTGTGTGACTATGTGTAAATAAAATAGTGGAGCGCTTCCACAAGCGCACATACAAGTCACCACTACGGTGTTGCGCTAGTGAACAGTAAACAATTTAAGCTCATTTGTCCTCATTTTAATCAATGTTTTTTATGTACTTTTTGTCAATCCTACCTATGGACCTAACGCGATAAGACTTCTGAAAATGAATTTGAATTTGTTAATATGCCTACTTGAGACCGATCGGACCACATTTTAAGGTATTTAATTTACTTTTTGAATAATCAACATTTAAAATGTCTTAAATTTTAAATATTCGAACAAAATGTATAGAAGTTTAGGAACAAAATTTTACAAAAGTAGCCTGATCGATCTTACGTAGACATCAGTTTTCAAAAATCTTATCACGTTATCAGGTCCATCGGTACGATTGACAAAAGATTAGTACATTTTGTTTGAAATAATATTGTCCGTTTGCAATCCAGCGCCTTAACCTTAAATATTATACTACATTATACGTATATGATCTAAGCGTTTAACACTATACCGGGTGATTCTTTTATCAAACAACACTCATTATTTCAAAAAGTGTAAATTTTTTTGAAGATATTTTTTTACATAGTTTCAAGTCGCTTATAAAACAACGTTTTTATTAAAAAATTATATTTTTAATTATTTTTTATCCTTATAATTTTTTAAGTTTTTTACTTTTTTGAATGACAACATAGGGTTTTAATTTTATATTCTAAAGTAGAATATTTTTCTTAGTATTTTGATACATGAAAATTGAATGTGGGACGAGTAGTTTATGAGTTATAAGTATTTAAAGTTTAGACGAGCGGTGAAGTGGACAAACATTTCGCGGGGTAACCCCGAACCACTCCACTCCGCTCGTCTAAACTTTAAATACTTATAACTCATAAACTACTCGTCCCACATTCAATTTTCATGTATCAAAATACTAAGAAAAATATTCTACTTTAGAATATAAAATTAAAACCCTATGTTGTCATTCAAAAAAGTAAAAAACTTAAAAAATTATAAGGATAAAAAATAATTAAAAATATAATTTTTTAATAAAAACGTTGTTTTATAAGCGACTTGAAACTATGTAAAAAAATATCTTCAAAAAAATTTACACTTTTTGAAATAATGAGTGTTGTTTGATAAAAGAATCACCCAGTATACCTATAGTATACTGTATACCTAAAAAATACAAATACGTCATGATATATCACAGAAAGCGATAAAAAAAAAACTAAATTTTAAAAAGTAAATATTTTCTGTGAACTCGCAAACACACTTTTAGATATACCTATGGTTAATGTATTTGATAATATTGTTGGAACAAACGAACACATTTGAGCTTACAATACCCAATTCGAATATTATAAGCTAATAATAATAATAATAATAATAAAAAAGAATACATTAAGGTGAAGTAGGTATTTACATAGATTTCAACCGTATTTTAAACTTACCGTGTAGGGTGACATTGTAGCTGTATATCGGCGCATCTACTATATTATATTTAGCTTTATGTGCAGAACTTTTCCGACGGCGGGCGAATGTCGGTTTAGATGAATATAACCTCCGTGGTATTGCACAGCAGGTATACTGTATAGATGGCAGTTTTAGAAAAGTGGTAATATATTATTATATCATAGACGAGCGTGCGCGAGTTGAGACACTGAAAGCGTACGGTCATCCGACGCGTATTTATATATGAAAAATAACACGTACGGGAGGCCTACAACTGCATGCGGCTCCAAGGAAAGAAAGAAAGAGGTAAAAAAAAAACCGAAGGACTGCACGCGAGCGTGTGGTAGGTACCTATACTCGAGTCGTGGCCTCGGGCTTTATCCCGGCCCGAGATAATATACTTGTGTGTGTGTGTGTGTGCGTGTGTGTGTGCGTGTGTGTGTGTGTGTGTGTGTGTGTGTGTGTGTGTGTGTGTGTGTGTGTGAATGATAATAATAATTGGATTCCGGCGGTACGGATGGCGTAGTTGACCGCCGCGCTTTAACTTGAAGTCAAATAACGTCGCCGAGCGCACGTGAGAACGGCCCTCGTTATATTATTGCTTTGGGTAGATAATAATAATATTATATAAAATCATATTATTATAATAATATATAGATCGTCGCCGGTTTCGAAACGCCAGTGCTACGCGCAGCTGTACCCTCGGCTGATGCACTTTTCAGCTCCGTAATACAGATACACACATATATGATATATATGTACCTTCACAAGTACAGGGCGATTCACCAATCATACATTTTATGCATGAATATTTTTAATTTTAATATTATATTATAATTACATTTATTACGATGTTTTTTTTTCACGCACGTGAGGAAACACATCTTAAATAACGATCTCATACTTAATATATAATAAGTACCTACCCATTATGTTAATCGTTAATGTGTATGAAATTATGTATTATACACGGTCAGCTTTTATACGAACTTATATTAAATTATGTATACCCACAACAATTAACATTTAGCCTGGTTTATTATATACCTATTAATAATTATTTACAGCTTATACGTATATATTATATTGTAAGAACCAATGTTTTTATCTACCACGTACCAGTTAAGACAATGTAATCAGTTTTAGAAAACGAAGTCTGTAGATGTGCCTCGAATGGTGTATACCGATTGTCCTATTACCTTCCATATGTAAGTATATATAGGTGCTTATAATATAATCAGGGAAAATAAAAATCGCTTGAATGAATAAATAGACGAAGCAGGGGAAGGATTTCGAAGATAATAGACACGAATAGTTGTCGCCAAGAGTTGCTGGGGTTTTAATTTTTCTTAGACGTTTTATCCCTACGCATAACACGTCATAATATGCACACTGTCCCAATTGGACTTAATCTTTGAGGTGAACTATCATAATATTACACATAGGTACACGATACAACGTACAACATCGTGCACAATAAAATATAAACATATAATGTACCTATGTATAAAACAGGGTAATACACAGTTATTTTCTGTTTTTCTGTTGAAGGCAAAAGGACGACCGGAAAACACGGTATACCGCATTTGATGTGTACCACTGTACCAGTGTACCTAAGGTGTATCGTATAATATGTAAGCGTATGGTTTGAATTACCGTGAACTTTATACATAATATTATTACATACATATGCTCGAAAGCCAACTGTAACCCTCCTACAAAATGCTAAGGGCCATAGTCGAAATAGTTTAATAAAAAAATATGCTCAAAAGTAGGTATAAAGCAGTACAGCACCTACTACTATTATCTAATCTCGATAATAGCCCTCAATCTAATCTCGTAACTCATATTATTGAATTGAATGCAAACGTAATCGCTACAACACACACATGTACTGCCTTTCGCAAACTGTAGAACCGTTGGAATGACACTCGAAGAGAATCAAATATCTATAAAAAAAAAATAATAATAATAATAAATAATGAGTAAAATTGTTTTCATATGTAACGTAATAATCGGTAGTATGTAGTAGGTTTTTGGTTTTTTTTTTTTATAATATAACCCGTCAAAAAATATTTTTAGAAACGAACATTAATTGCGCAACAAAAAACCGTAGAATATAATAACAACACTGCAGAAACTGAAATCGTTATAATTTATCATTTTTATATAGTGGCACATATACAGACATACAGTGCCTATTTGTATAGGTACATATATAAATATATTATATTATATAGGTTAGTGTTATAATGAATTATTATTTGATAGTTATACTATAGCAGTTATAATCACATTTACACTATCTTTTTCTAATCGTTTATCAAAAAAAAAAAATCTTCTTACATATAGTTAAGAATAGGTACCTCTGCACAAATATAGCTTTATATATCACTATACCTGCAGTAATATCGTGTTCGTGTATCAAGTATTGAAGTATTATTATACGATTAAGTGTCGGAATCATATTGTGAAAGACACAGAAAACATGTGACGGTAAAAAGTGTACCGTTTCTGTGAACGGCTCAGAATTACGTAACAATGATCTATACTACCTAGGTTTATCTAAATAGAGGATCAAAAAAAAGTGACAATTTTCTGAACGAACGTATGCCTATTGATGTCCTCGCGAAATCCGCTATGACGTAAACATAAAATGTAAAAACCAGTCGTAGCCTACGTGGACGTAGAGACTAGAGAGAGTGCCCAGAAAACATGCGTGAAATAGAGAAACAAAAACTGAAATAAATAAAAAAACATGGAAGTATGTGTACAGTTTTGTATACCTACTCAGAACTTATCTCGCGAAGATCTTATTTTTCCAACTGTTTATACGTGCAGTCTGCGCAAAGTGCTGAAAACGTATAACGACGTTTATATATCATAATATTATATTATCATATTATATCATAAGTCATTATACCTACGTCGTTCAGCTTCAACTGTTGATAAGAACTAACAAAATAACAACTATGACTACTGAGGAATGGAAAATTGCCAATAATAACTTATAGGTAGACATATTATAAAAATTATTAGGTATTTTTTTTTAAGGATTAAAAAAATCCTGCTTGTCTAGAAACAGTTTTTCGACTTATATCAGTTTAAATATCAGAGGAAAGTTTTTTGTCAAAACTCTATTGGCTCACTATCATAACAGTTAGACCGGATATTGGGATGTCGGAGTGTTATACAGTGTGATCAGAAACCCTGCATAGGTTGTAATTTATCTTGTCCTGGGCCCCTCGAAAAGTAGCTCGGTCGTCTCTGCAGTGAAACACCGCGTGCGATATACCAGCTGTATGCCTGTATATAGGTATAGTAGGTATCTTTAGATGATAATTTGCAAACGCTTTTTTCCGCCGACGACCGCCTAGAAACCTTCGACCGAAATGTTACTGGTGCCACTGCAACTGCTGTTGTTGTGCAAGTTAATGACGGTTATTATTATCACTCACGTACAATATTAGGTTTGCACCGACGTAGGCCAGTAGCTATATAGGCACATCGCCCACGTAGGTATACAGCCGCGCAGTAGGTCCACATAATATAGTAAATTATATTGCATATATAGGTACGTATATAGTGGGTACCTAGTAGAAATTTATAATACCGCCTATATAGTATCATAATAATATATAATATATTATCTGTAACGAGACGCGTAATGAGGCGCAACAGGTCGGGAACGTTTCATGAGGTACGCCGCCCTGCAAATGACGCGACCATAATAATAATATCATAATGTAGCCTGCCTATATGTATAACGTCTGTGCGTCTATATATTTCACAACTCCGTTCAACTTGACCCCGTGACTTCCTGCCAGTTATTTACATCGGCCCCAGAGTGCGCCGAGCTCGTGATTCATTAGCGATATGTTGTGGTTTTTCTCAAATAATCGAGACGGTAAACGAAATGGCCATCACCGCATTAAAACGTAAATACAAAACAAATGCACGCATTGTTGCCTTCAGTAATATAACTCGAATTCTTATAAGTAGGTAATAGGTTGTAGGTATGTGGAATGTCTTCTCGAATCATCGAGTGACAGGATAAAATGCATAATATTTAAACACTGTCTACGCGTCTTACTCCTGTGTTGGTGCTTATAGTATGTTATTATTTTTTCATCATTCCGGCGTCGATAATCATAATAATTAACTCTAGTTGCTAGCTGCTTATTGAAAATTACGAAATAAACATTTAAATAGAAAACGTTTAGTATTGGTACCCGCCTATACCGATGACAGATTTGTTTTGCTTTACATTTAAACGTATTAATTATAACCGTTTGATTTAGCTTATATCACATAATAATATATTATCTCATTTTAGATTCTGAGCGAAGCGAGTGTATCGTAAGATGAAAAATGTTAGAAGATTTCACATAAGTTTTTCTATATATTATAAAAAAATAAAAAAGTCACCGAAAAGTTACGCTATTTATAGCAATGAAATATTTTTTATTTTTATTTTTTCGATTACAAGTATCATACTAGGCTGTTGAAACGTATCTGCTCAGAATCGTTTTTGGTATACAATGGTTTATCATTGAATTCAAATATGACGCTCAACGTACACAACGAAATGCATAATATATGTTCGACAACAACTGTACAGCAGAGTGGTACCCACTTGTCCACCTTTAGCATCAAATTGTATTCTAAACCAAAAATCGACTGAATGATAGCCAAGTTTCTAAGTAGTGACACACTGACACATTCCATAAAACAATAATTGTGTCCTAAATGCTTTCATTTAAATATAATTGGACATGATTTGTATACTATCGCAAATCCACTTTACAAATTCAAATACCATATTATAATCTACACTTAGTAAACCACAGGCTGGAAGGTAAATACTAAATGGAAATGGGTTGTTCGATAGTCGATAGATAGCTATATAGAATATCAGATAAGTAACAGATCAGGATCATTAGAGATTAAATACGCTGGGGAAATATGTGTAAGTTGTATATAGGCATACTTATATAATATGTATTACATAACA